TGTCCAGTGATTGAAACATTTTCTGTTCAATTGCTGGATCACCCCACTCCCCCGCACGGTTACGGCAAGTGTCACAGCGACCGGTCCCAGAGGAATAACCGAGCGGCACGCAGAGAGTTGGAGAGTCAGCAACTTTATTGCTGGTGGCCCAGAGGAGACAAGCCTCCAAATTCTGAGCACCTCTTCCTGGTTTTTGTCAAGTTTTATACTTTTTTTGGGTTAGTCTTATCCAATAACACACACACAAGCATAAATGGCTAACCAATTAGCAAAAGGATTCAAAGGTAGCCAATTGACAGTAACTATCACAGGCAGTACGATTATTATAGGCTTGTAACAAGCAGTACAGTGATGACAGGCCTATAACTTTATACTGTTTGCGGTTTTAGCTGACAGGTGCATACTTCTATTTAGCTGCTTTTGTGGTTTTAAGCAGAACTGGCATGGAAATTCCCTAACAGTATCAGTTATTTCTAGACTCGCTTTACTTCTCCCTGTAAAAGAAAAACCTTTCAGCCTTCATTCTGAGGTGCTCGCAGATCTTGTGTCCGGAGCATTCTCCCTATTACAGGAAGTCTTCTCAAATAATGTCTCTCCTTGCCTAGGGCCAGAATTGTTTTTGATCTGACAGATACTTGGAATTTTATTGTATTAATCTTTGTACTTTTGTATACGTTTAATAACTTCCATAACAAAAAGCTTTAAAGTAATATATGTTGACATTTGAGGGAAGTGACTGAAAGAACAGAAAAATAATCAAATTGCTGTCAAACAAGCAGAAGGAAGAAAGAGTTCAACAGAAGGAAGGGAAGAAGAAAAATAAGCAAACAAAAAAGCTAATGTAATAAACGGAAAAACACAAAATAAGTTGGTCCCTCTGCACATTTCTGTAGCCACTGTAAATATACTCACCGACGAGGGCAGAATCCGTCCAACTGAACTGAAATAAACAAACTGTGAAGCTGCCCGTAAGAACCTCACCCAAATCTTCCAGAGCTCTCAGATTCTTCCAACTCTGGTATAACTTGTGTGTTTTGGAATTTTTGACGGTCTGAGCTTAAAGGGACTTTGGCAATCTAAATGGCGTTTTAGTTGAGGAAGGAGAATCAGACAGGTAGAGTTACCTACTCAGGGCTACATATTCGTGAGGGCCAGGGAAACCGGGGAACTGTACCTCCTTTCAACCCAAGCATTTTTTTCCCATTCACTTGTGACTAATGATTTATTAACAGGACATGAGATTAGTCTAGAACAGACACAGGATTTCACCAGATTTAAAAATTTGCCTCACTTTATAGACAATAAAAAGCCAGTGTTGGTGGAAATGTGGAGTGGTGAAGGCCTGAGAGCAATTTGTCGGGCCCCTGTATACATGTTCACTGAGAAGTCCGGAAGGAAACATACCTAGACTGGTAAGAGTGATTCCCTCCTTAGTGGGCAGGGGGAGTTGAGTGGTGGTAAAAAGAGACTTTTGATTTTGTGTGTGTGTGCTGTCTTTATAATTTTCTGTGGGGAGTATGTTCATATATTATGATTTTGTTAAAAGAGATTTTTCTATCTCCATGGCCACCTCTGAGTGACATGCCATCTCTCTCTAGAGAGTAGCTAAAAACTCTAGCCCTGTTCTGACAGAGATCCAGAGGTGGCGGCCGTGGGTGTTGACAGCATGCCACTCATGGGATACTTCTTTATCCCAGTGGCGGGGGCCTAAGTGTCCAACCCAAGGTGAGGTGTTCCCCTCAGAGGAAACTTGTTTATCCTGGAAGGCACCCTTGTGGCTCGTCTCTGGCCTGTGTCCAGCTTATTCGTACCCAGAGAGCCACTCCCCAGGAGGGCCCTGACTGGGAGGAGAGTTGGGGTCAGGTGTTTGGATCAACAAAGTAGATGAAGTAGCAGAAGTGGTGTACTACCCACAGGTCCCAGAGAGAGGAGCAGTGACCACAAGGGCTGACGGGAAGTCCAGAGGCAGCAGGTGCTCGGCAGCAGGTGGGGAGAGACGGGAGAGGAGAGAGAGAGAGGGAGAGAGGGGGAGAGGGGAGAGGGAGAGAGAGAGAGAGAGAGAGAGAGAGAGAGAGAGAGAAGGATCTGCGGGACCAAAACCTTTATTGGAGCCCAGGACATTCCCCAGGCAGGCTTCCCATGGGGAATTCTAACTGGTGGGTGTAGAGCAGGCAGGCACCAGCTCCATGGGGGGACCCTGTGACTGAGACGTGGTCACTGACGGTGGCCTAGCTGCACAGTCCATGTAGGGTGCAGGGTTACGGAGGCAGGTCAAGTAGGTTCTATCTGGCTGCCCCATGTGGAGGTGGTCACCGGAAGGCAGTTGTATAGGGCTGATATCTGGATGGGCCACACCGAGGAACTGGGAGGAGAGGGAGAGCTGGAAACCGTTAAGCCCTGCTTCTGGTGTGGGAAGGTAACATTGAAAATGGAACCGAGGCAACATAAATTATAAGAATTTACTGCACTCATTAATTCCTTACAATGGCTCTGTATCTACTGGGCTTCTTGGGCTCATGTAGTATAACCAGTTAAATGTGGAAAGAGAAGAGGGGTGAGGGAGGAGGAGGGAGGGAAGACAGGAAGGACGACAGGCAGGCAGGCTGGCTATTATAAAATATAGGTCAGCACTTCCTTCACTTTACACAGAGAGAAAGGACACTCATGGAAAGAGTTGCCCAAATCAGTAAGTGTTGGAACTAACTTTCAGACCCAAGGGTGTGTTTGTGAAGTCTGCATTCCACGGCACAATGAACGGGATGTGCTGCTTTCCAGGACAGCCTGGCAAGCTACTGCCCTACTCAACTCTGTAGAGCAAGGCTGCTCTTCCCGGGTCTTGGGATTCCCCGTTGATGCTACAGAACAAGGAATTTTTTATGGGGCTAGACCTGGTCTAGTGTGACAGAGCAGGTGCAGAAGGCTGGGCAAACTGTGCCCTGTGTCTAGCATTGAGCACGGAGTCACCCTCGGTCAGCCAGGCTGGCTGTCGGGGAGGAAGGGCACACGTGGGAATCGTGCGCTGTGGGAAAAGCTTGCAGCAGCACATCTGTCCCCTGTGCTTGGGACAGGCTGGAGGTGGCCCTGGCAGCAGTTGTAGGAGCTGCAGGCCTGGGGACCAACAGATCAGATCAGCAACAGTGTGTACTGGCCGTCACCCTCTGATGTCTTGCATCAACCTTCAGATGTGGAACATGTGACGCTGCCTCACTTCTGCTTTCCAAATCTCAGGAAATGTCTTGTGATCAATGCTAACCTTGAACTAGCCAGGGAAGGAAATCCTGTGAAAGGTTTCAAAGTACACCTCTTACTAAAGATCAGAAATGCCAGAGGCTTGCTGCCCTAGTTCACCTTGTAGCTTAGACATGTGCCTTAGGATGAGCCAATCAGATTGTGTCTGTGGTTTCAATCTGGAGCCACAAAGCAGCAAGGAGAGTGGTGAATTCTTCCTGTTCTGTCAGTCCAGGTCCCACAGTTCACGTTGTATGTAGCATGGATCCAGGAACCATGGCTCTTTTCTGGTGTCATTGACAAGTTAACGGTTGAGAATCTTGCCCCTGCCTCTCCAAAAGGCAAGAAGCAGTGATGCTTTTTGATGCTTCTTGATTCGCCACCTCCAAGATGTCTGCAATCAGCCTTTCTTTCTCCCTCCTCTTGTGATGGTGAAGGTTCATCCGCTTGAGACTTGTGCACCCAACCTCCTTCCTGATGGCCTGCTGGTTGGGGATGTGGTTTCACCTTGGTGATGGGCACCAAAATCTTATTTCTGATGTCAGGTCAGGTCTTCGGGCTTCATTTGCCCACATCAACCCAAGGGTGAAATCCTTGCCCAGGCCGACTTCCTTGTTCTGCTGTAGGACACCCTTCACTGCTCTGAGCCTGAACTGAAACCTCACAGAGGGCAGTTCCTCTCATCAAACCCAGTTCAGAATCTGGCTTTCAGTCATGTTTTTTTATAAAGTAAAGACACAGGAGACTGTTGGGGGGGGGGGGAGCGGGGAGGGAGACTTTATTACTGAAGATGTGAAGGCATTTACAAAATACCAAGAAAAACCATGCCCTGAACATTCACTATGTACCAGGAAACAATGCTACTTTCAGTATTAGTTACCCAAGGTTTGCCTCTAGTGGGCCCTGACTTATCGAGTCTGTGCACATGTTCTGAGTTTCTTGAGCTGCTCATACTAGTCACAGCTTTACTTCGGTGTTCCCGCAGGTAGAGGTATGCATAAAATCCTTAGCATTATGTTCTCTGAGTACTGATGGCAGCTGGAAAATGAGCAAAGGGTAGTACCGAGGAATCGGCAAATTAAAGCCTTAAATCTAAGGCGGACAATTCCATTCTCCTCAACTGAAACGGGGTGGATAATGCTTTTATAAGAGATACTGTATGGTTTTGTGTACACAGCACACAATGTTTAACAAATTTTATGTCACCTAAGTCTACAAACAGATTTAGGGAAAACCTCCAGACTATTTCCCCAAATGACTGACATAGCAAAAAAATAAAAAAAAATAAAAAACCATAAAGAGAGCCCACTCAGAATTTGAACAGAAGGAAACATATTTTTACAAAATCTTGGTGGAGATGCACCCCAGGGATGATCTGGCCTCAGTAAAGAGCTCATTTTTCCTGTAGCTAAACTGACCACAAGCAGAAAAGCTGTCCACAGAGGAGACAGCGGCTGCTTGTATCCTAGGGCTTCTCATATAAGCAGCAATTCCATAGTCACCAAAGGTATTGTTCACAATGCACCTTAGTGACATGGGTCCATGATAATGTAGCTTTATAACATATCCATTGTAAATACATATTTAATACAAATCAGAAATTCATGAAACTATAAGCCATTTACAACACATAGGACTGTCCCTATACAAAGGGTTCACAATCTGAACTGGCCTTTTAAAATGGCACATAGTCTTAGAATAATATTGTAAACAAACGACTCCAATATAAAAAAAACAAAACATGTAGTACAATATATAAATTATTAAAGACTTTAGGTAAGATTTTCAGAAAACCCAGGGATAGATTTTATATCACAAAATGGCCCATACCGCCCAAAAATGTCTTTTGACTGGACAGTAAAGTAGTATTTGTTGGAAGCTAAAAATTGAGATAAAGTACATGCCATTGGGAGTGGTAAAGCTTTAATTTCTCCAATTTTCTTCCAAATCGGCTTATTATCAGGGATCTCATGACACAGGAAGAGGTGGTAGCTTTCCACAGGAGCACACTTGGGATTGATTTTGGTGATGTTCCAAGTCAGGGCAATGCCCCTGGGTCTCAAAACCCGTTTCACTTTGAGCTCAGGCTTCTGAGGAGGAAGCGTGTCTCGGATTTTGTCCACGAGTTCAGGCAGTAGTGGTGGTGGTTCTGGGAGAGGTGGCAGGTGCTCAAAGGATTCAAGAACCTAAAAAAACATTTGTAAAAAAGTTTAGCAAGCTGGCTTGGTGGGTACCAATTGTTTTAAAGTGGTCAACAGCAGTTGTGAAAGTATATATTTCCCATTCGTCAATTCTTTTGTCAAAATGATAAAAGGATATTTCAAGAATTATGTGAGGCTGGATCCTGTCTTTTAAACGTAAGCCTCTTTTGGGGTTAAGATTTCTACACTCTGGAACGTCACTAATCCAGAGTGGGTTAGGTTTCAGACATTCTGGATAAATATTCCATCACACTTCTAAATTGTGTTCTCAAACATTATACTAATTTACAGGAAAAGTGTGAGTACATGAGAGCATGTTTCCCTCTACTGTTACCAAAAATGGCTATTGCTTTTAAAATAAAAATGCTTATCCAATTTGTTGGATGAAAAAAAAATGTATTTGTTTTAATTTCTGTAGCTTCTGTAAAATTCAATTGAATTATTTTAATTGTGTAAGTAGATTCACAATAGCACATTTTAGAAAGTATATTGAAGTGTTTTTTAAGCTGAAATGTGACCCAAATATTTCTTCAGAGTAAAACAAGGTACTTCCCACTCAATTTGGAATGAATATCCCTTATAGAGCATTTCATATCAGTACCTGGGCTGCATTTTGTGCAGCTAGGGTTGTTTCTTTTAAGTTTAAAACAGCTTTTGAAGGTGACTCCAGGGTGCATACTGGATGTTCTGTGAACAATACAAAGTTTAAAAAGTAAAACTTATCTGTAATAATCAATTCCATAGCCTTTAAGCAAATAATTTATGTCTTGGGTAGTAATTAGATATGAACTAAATTTACAAGACTGTGAAATATAAAGATACACTTTTGATAAAAGTTCAAGGCCCAAAGGTACCAAATCCAGAACATTTTCCTTTAGGGTGACAGAAATTCCTGTCTTAAGGTAAACACTTTGGTCATTATGTGACTGGGAACTAGGTACATTTATACATAGGAGAGGGATCCCTGCTCAATGATCTTAGAGGCAAATTCTCTTCTGGTAGGCCAACGAGGATGTCCACAAACACAGAGCCATTTATAATCATGTATGAATATATGAGACACATAAGTCCCAAGAATTCAAACTAAGAATCATGCAGGCTAGAAGTTTTCTTTCTTTCTTTCTTTTTTTCTTTCCCCTCGCTCAACCCCCCAGAGTTAAAGAAACCTCCACTGATAGGGTCTGTGTTAATCTGGAGGGAATTAGGTATAAATTGTGAACTGAGGAAAAGGAGGGGGAGGAAGAAGGGACAGAAAGGAAAATGGAAGAGACGGTGAGAGGAAGAAAGGGGGTGGGCAGAAAAAAAGTGGGTGGGAGGGAGAGAAAGAAGGTGTAAGTAGGTGCAAGAATGGTTTAAAAACAACTGAGGAGAATAAATATGGTTAAGAAAAGGGGCTTCACGTTAGAAAGTATTAGAGTTGGATAGCTAAAAGTTCCAGAAATTTGAACATATCTAAGAAGCAGTAAAAACCATTTTAGGTCCATTGCATGACTAGTGATATAACTATTTAATGTACTTTATGAATTCCCAAATTAAATTATTTTTATTTGTATTTTTCTTTTGACTGACAAAAATGAACAAGATTCTGCATTGTGTTTCAAAGTTAAATTATTAGTCTATATACTGGTATTAAAAAAAATCTTTCCAGAAGAAGTAATGACTTTATGGTCTTAATTCTAAGAGAATCTGTACTGCCTTTTCATACTGGTTTAATTAATTAGAACTAGATTTGTAAAATCATAATCTGTAGGTTATGTAGATAACCTCCTTACCTCCCGAAGTGCTGGGATTACAACTGAGCTACAATGCCCAGGCAAAACATGTTTTTTTTTTGGTTTTTTTTTTTAAGAGAACTTTCAACAAAGAAAGCATGGCTTTTAAAGTCTGTATTTTTGAAATGCACTATTCAGACATAATTTACAATTTATACCCATATTAAGCAAGCAGTTCTTTGAGTTTTGACAAATACATACAACATTTGTGAAACCACCACCAAAATACAGACACAGAATATTGTTATTAACCCAAAAGTTCTTTAGTATCCGTTTCTCAACTCCTCTCTCACCCCATGAAATCACTGGTGTATTGTCACTAAAGATTACATTTGTCTTTTCTAAAATTTCACATAAATTGAATCACATAGCATGTACAATTCTTTTGCCCAGCATAATGTTTCTGAAACATATATGCAACGTGTAGTTGCATATATCAATATTTTGTTCATTTTTATTTAGTGATTAGTTGTATAGATATTCCACAATCTAGCCACTTGCCTGTTGATAGACATTTGGACTGTTTCTAGTTCTCGGTTATTATGAATAAAGCTGCTATGAACAATTGTGTAAAAGTCTGTGGTAGATGTAGGTTTTCATTTCTTTCTGGTAAATACTTAAAAGAGTAGAATATAAAGTCATATAGTAAAGGTATAGTTAATGTTTTAAGAAAACTACCAAACTACTTCAAAGGTGATTTTACCATTTTACATTCTTACCTGAATGAAAATCGTTGAGAATCTAAGGTTGCTCTACATACTCACCAACACTTCATATTTTCAGTAGTTTTCATTCTGGCCATTCTTTTGGGTATGTAGTAGTATCTCATTATAGTCTTAATTTCCCTAATTAATAATGATGTTGAGGATATGTTACTGTGCTTATTTGCCAACCCCTTAGATTTAATGAAGTGTCACCTACTTGCTTTGGGTCTAATTTACTCTTCTTTTCTTAGCATCATACAATAAAAGCTTAGATTGTTCATTTTAGACCTTCTACTTTTCTAATATAAACATTTAATGCTAGTAATTTCCCTCTAAGCACTGCTTTAGCTGCATTCCACAAAGTCTGATATGTTTGTTTTTATTTTCATTCAGTTCAGAGCATTTTCTAATTTCACTTTTAGATTTCTTCTTTGGCTCATGAGGTTATTGAGAAGTGTATTTCATTTCTAAATATTTAGGGATTTTCCAGCTATCTCTGTTATAGACTACTCATTTAATTCTGTTGTATCAGAGAATATAATCTGTATGATTACAATCCTTTTACATATACTGGGACTTGTTTTACAAGGACCTGATCTATTATGTTTGAGTTTAGTGTTCTATAAATGCCAATTAGGTTATGCTGGTTGATAGTGTTGCTTAGGCTTCTATAGCCTTACTGACTTTCTGTCTACAAATTGCATCAAGTACTGAGAAGGAGTGTTGGAATCCCTAATTATCAATTATAATTATGTATTTTTCTATTTATCATTTCATTCCTATCAGTTTTGCATCAAGCATTTTGAAGCTCTACTAGTAAGTGCATATGCATGTAGGTGTACTTTGTCTTCTTGATGAAATAACTGCTTTGTCATTATGAAACAGCCTTTCTTATTACTTACTTTGAAGTCTACTTGTCCAATAATAATACAGCCACTCTAACTTTCTTATGATTAGTGTTTGCATGGTTTATCTTCTATCCTCTTAATTTTAATGTATCTGCATATTTATATTTAAAGCACATCTCTTATACTTAATCATATAGTTGAGTCTTGCTTTGTTATCCAGTCTAACAATATCTGCTTTTTAATGGAGTGTTTAGACCATTTACATTTATTATCAGTATAGTGAGGTTTAACTCTATCATCTTGCCTTTTATTCTGTTAGTCTCATTTATTCTGTGTCTGCTTTTTTGTGGCTTCTCTTAGATTGAATATTTTTTAAATTCTGTTTTATCTCCACTATTGATTTATTAGCCCTACTTCCACTTGAAAGAAAATCTGTTGCCGTAGGCATTACCATATGTATCTTTTAACTTATCATAGTCTACCTTCAAATACCACTCCACTCACATACAATGTACAAGACCCTTAAAACAGCATACTTCTCTTCCTCTGACCATCTTTGGTACAACTATTGTCATACATTAACTTCTACACATAAACTCTATAATAAGGTGTTATATTCCTTTATGTAGATCCACTTTCCATCTTTTATCATTTTCCTATCACTTGAAGAACTTCCTTTATTTCTGATAGCAAAGGTTTGCTGGCAACAAATTTTGTTTATCTGAAAAAGTCTTAATTTTGCTTCCATTTTTGAAAGACATATTTGCTAGATATAGAATTCTAGGTTGTCAGTTATTTTCCCCCATCCTTTTAATGATGTCATTTGATTGCCTTTTGGTTTGCATTCTTCTAACCGAGAATTCTGTGAATTGTTTGTTCTCCTATCTATATTATATCTTCGTTTTTCTGTTTATCTCTGGTTTTCAGGAACTTGATTATGGTATTGTATCTTGGTATGGTTTTCCTTGTGTCTATCCTATTTGGAATTTATTGAACATCTTGGATATGTGGGTTTACATCTTTCATTAAATTTGGATGAGGCCTTATAACTGGTTCCCAGGCCCAGATGATTATATTTCACTTCTTTTGACGTAAATCTGAGAAAGAGGACACTGTTGTCACTTTCCCTCTACATTTTCATGTCATATCCTAGACCTGTTTCTGGGTGTATCCTCTCCTGCTGTTGTAATGGTTAGGGGAAAAAAGTGTGTACCACAAGAAGAAAAGAGATTACAATAGCCCCAAATAACCCAGATGTCTTTCAACGGGTGAACGGATTCTCAAAAAGGAGTGCAGGAAAAGAAAATTATTTTTTTTTTGAAGAAAAAAAAAAATCAGTGGGTGAATAGATAAACAAATTATAATATATCCACACCATGGGCTACTCTTGGCAATAAAAGGAAACACTACTGATATGCAATAACAACAATGTGGATGACCCTCAAGAAAATTATGCTGAGTGAAAGAAGCCAATCTCAGCAGGATACATATTGTATTATCACACTCCTATCACATTTGTGAAATAATGTAATTATAGTGATGATGAACAGATTAGTGGTTACCAGGGGTTAGGGATTAGGGGCAGGAGATAGGTGTGGCTATAAAGGGATAGCATAGGGGAGCCTTGTACTGATAGAATAGTTCTGTACTTTGATTATGGCGGCAGTTACACGAATCCACACATGATAAAATTACATAGAGCTATAAACACATGCATACTAACACACTAAAACTCCATAAGTGGGTCCAGTGAGTTTTGAGTTGTTACCCTTCCCTTTTTAAACAAACAGAAAAATTAAAAAATCTTTTACCTGTGTTATAGTTAGATAGGTCTTCCCTTGTCAAATCAATTACAGAAGCAAGTTTCTTCTGTACAGCCTGAAAAATTGTTTAAAAAATAAGGTTTGTGCATTAATAGCTAAAAATGTTTTTTAAAAATGAAACACATAACTTTATCATTTAGAAACAAGAGATTGAACATTCTCTAAATCTCTTATGGTTTACTTTACTATGAAACTCTACTATGAAAAAAATCTCTTATAAAAGACTATATAGTTTCTGAGAATATGACTAGGCAGAGTCTCAATGAATTTGATAAATGAGTATGGTTGTGAAATATGTTCATCATTAGCTGTCTGCTTTTCAATGTGTAAGCTGAACTGGAACCTGGTTAGGCTAACTAGTCAGACATTAATTTCTCAGAGAATGAATCCCCTAAAGAATGACTTAAGTCATCCAACATGTAGCAAACACTAAAGTTCCCAGAACTAACATATTTAAATAGTATTCAGAGACATTATTTATTACCCACCGTAACTTCAGTTTCAGCATTAGGTGGATCACTGGAATTTCCCGATATAATTTTTCTAATATCTGAAAGAAAATTATTAAAATATGAATACATCTGACAAGCTTATTAAACTATTAATTTATGGACTTCGTAATATATGAATGCTGAAACACATGGGATGCTAATTATATGATCATAAAAAGTAACTCTGCCAGGCGCGGTGGCTCACGCCTGCAATCCTAGCACTCTGGGAGGCCGAGGTGGGCGGATCGTTTGAGCTCAGGAGTTCGAAACCAGCCTGAGCAAGAGTGAGACCCCATCTCTACTAAAAAAAAAATAGAAAGAAATTATCTA